CGAGAAGCCACCACTTCAAGGAAACACCGGACCGTTGTCATCTTAACAACCGGGGCAAATGTCTCGTTAAAATCTTCTCCCTCGATTTGATGATTCCCAAACACAACCAAACGTGCCTTCTATCTTTCAATCGATCCATCTGACTTGTATTTAATACAATAAACCCATTTGCATCCCAATGCTTTCTTTCCTGGTGGAAGTGTTTCAATCGTCCATGTGCCTCGATCCTCAAGTGCCGTGATTTCAGACTTCATAGCTTCACAGAAATATGGATCATCAACTGCCTGAGAGTAATGTTTTGGTACTGTATCGGATGAAATAGCAGCTAGGAATTGACGATGTTGAGAGGAGAATCTATAGCAGAATAGAAAATCTTCAATTGGATAGCACGATGATGGATGAATTGTGTTTGCAACGAAATCTCTAAGACGAACGGATCGTGTCTTTTTGCGAAGACCATGACCAAGGAAATCCTCATCATCATCAGTGTCAAAATCATCTTGAGGTGCCTCCGGATGTTGTTGTGCAGGTGGTGACAGCTGCATCTCAGAATCGGTAGATGCAGAGTCAGTAAATACAGAATCCATAGATGCAGAGTTGTCTTCCTCTATCGCGGACATCTCTGTTTCATCTACTGTATTTTCGGGAGTTGCAGGATTAGTAGTTGCAGGCAACAGGTCATCTTGAGGTGCCTCTGGATGTTGTTGTGCCGGTGGTGACAGCTGTTGAACTACTGGATTTGAGACTAGGGGATCCGTTTCATGTGTCTCCACAACATCCGATTCATCAGTTATTGCAACCGACTCAAGCGAAGGTGATGTCGTCTTTTCCAGCGCGGTCATTTTGTATGGAAAGACATTTTCCATAAAGATGACATCTCTCGGTACAAACACTGTTCCAGTTTCGATGTCATAAAGTCTCCACCCTTTCTTTCCAAAGGGATATCCAATAAAAATGTATTTTGTGCTTCGACTTGCAAATTTGTCACTACCATGCTTTTGATTGTGTGCATAACAAAGACATCCGATGGTGCGAAGATGCTGCAGTGGTGGAGATCCGAGTACAACATCTCGAATGGTGTTTTTCCTTTCAACACCTATGTTGGTGTTCGATTAATCAGAAAGCCAGCTGATAAAATACATCCCCCCCAGAATTAAATAGGGAGATGAGCTTCAAAACGAAGAGCTCTAGCAATATTCAGAATATGTCTATGTTTTCTTTCGACCTCGTCCGTTTTGTTGTGGAGTTCCCACACAAGATGTTTCGTGAATCACTCCATTGTCACGAAAATATTCAGTCAAACAGATAAACTCACTGCCATTATCACTTCTGAATGTTCGAATCTTTGCTTGAAACTGTCGTTCAATTAACGCAAAGAATTGCTTAATTTTTGCTGGCGCTACTTGTTTATTCGGGAGTAAGTATAACCAGATAGATCGAGTGTAGTCATCTAGAATGGTTAAGAAATATTGAGCTCCATACAACGCTGGTGTCCGATAAGGACCCCACAAATCACAATGAATGAGTTCAAAAGCAGCAGTAGTCTTATTCATACTCGTAGGAAACACATCTCGAGATTGTTTGGCGTGGATACAAACCTCACACGCTTTATTGTCAAAAACACTAGAATTCGAAAATCCAGAAATAGGTAATGATTCTACAACTTTAGAGGCAGGATGTCCTAAGCGACGATGCCATACGTCTCGAGACACTTGATCCGTACGTCCAGCCATCGCCACTTCCATGTCCACACTCCTAAAGAAGTATAATCCACATCGCTGCTCACCCGCTCCAATCAAAGTCCTCGTGGTGCGGTCCTGGATAGTGCAAAGTGTGTCAGAAATATGGAATATGCAACAACTATCTCGTGTCAACTGTGATACTGAGATCAAATGGCAATGTAATCCCTCTACGAAGAGCACATTCTGTAAACTGATATGCAAGCCTATCTTAACTGAGCCTTTTCTAACCGCAATGGTAAAGCGACCATCTGGTAGCTTTATATTCACTGGAGGTATATCATGTATGTCAGTAAGAAAATCACAAGAGCCGGTCATGTGTTTGGTGGCCCATGTGTCAATAATCCAAGATTCGAAAAAAACGTACCCGACAAGCGATCGTGTGGTCCTTGTTTCCGTTCGTTAAGCATCTGAACAAGAGTCATGCATTGTGCATCATTCAATCCACTGAACCATGTTCTTTCTGCATCAGATATTACGCCATGTCCACCCGATGAAGATGCACCACCAGACATACCAACTGCATTCGCCGAAGCTATTTCTTTGCCTTTTCCCACAGAAGTCTGTCCATTGCTGCGTGTTGGTTGTGACGTGCCATGGTTACGAGGTCTGTCTCCCCACCAAGGAGGATATCCAATCTGTCTGAAACACTGGTCAGCAACATGGCCTGTACAACCACAAGCTGAGCACAACACATTCTTGTCTCTAGTATCCGCACCTCCACGATTGCGAGGTTGTGACTGAGCTACGAAACTCACTCCTTCTGTTGGTTCTGTGTATGATTGGACTCCCATGCGAGAATCTTCTTCTTGAGTCAAAGCATTGTAAACGTCATCAAGAGAATAGAATGGTACTCGCGAGAGTAGGGCCGATTGAGTCGGAACATACACTTCGTCAATTCCACGGAGGAACTCATGAACTCGATCTTGATCTCTCTCTTTTTCAAGTTCGAGATTCAGATTGCAATAACATGAGCCACACGTGCAACTCTTCGGGGATCGGTAGTCTGTTAATGTCATCCATAACTTGTTAAGATACCCAAAATGAGCTTCGATCGTTTGGCCTCTTTGTCTTGCAGTTGCAATCTCTGTTTTGATCCTCTGAATTTTGGATCCATTCTTGATAGAGAACCTCTTCTGAATATGATCCCACAACTCACTTGCCACATCTCTGTGTGAGAGGTTGGATCTAACGCTCGGATCAATTGTTAACTTGATCCAAGAGACTACTAATGCATTATTAGTCCACCAATCTTCAAGATCTCCAGAATCTGGTCGTGGTTGGAGAATCGTGCCATCTACGAAACCAAATTTCTTTCTCGCCTTCAATGCTAGACGAAGGCTCGATGCCCATTCGTCATAGTTCGGACCGCGAAGCAACGGCTGAGAGATTAAACTCCCTGGATTGTCGCTTGAGGTCAAGTCATACAGAGATATGGTCAACGTTGGACCGCAACATAGTCTGTCGAGGTTCCCACGTGTTCCCCGGTGCTTAGTTTCGACATCGGTGTGTGTGTTTCTTCTGTCATCGTGGAAGTTTTGATAAGAAAGAGAAGCAAGTAGTCGATCAAAGAGGATGATGATCGGCCGCCGTTTAAGAATAAAACCCTAGTAGGGCTCTGATACCATGTTAGAAAACAATAGGTATATAATAGTTTTCCTTACTTCTCTCAAGATCAAGGACTGTGTATTTATACAAGGGTTTGTATCCCCATAATGCGATATATACGAATCTACCAAATTCCTAAGATATAGAAAGGATATATGTACATTAACATATTGTATATATAATATAAGATATCGTAATAGGTAATATAGAGGAGACACAAGAGAGGAATATGACGAAGATCTCATAAGAAAAATAGACGCTGATACAAAGAGTGGTACAGCAAAAGCGCTGGAGAGGTAGTTATCATTTAAAGAGAAGGGATTAAGCATAGCGGGTGAATTTCCATTAAGTCGTCGGAATCTCTGGAGGATCAGTTCCCCCGGCAATCCATTGTTAATCGGTTAAGATTAAAAGAGAAACTGTAAAAGATAAGAGAAGACTAGTTTGGACTTTAATAACACTCGAAGTGCCCAAGTAGCACAAAGTGCCTTATATTGTAATTGCAATTTCATAAAGTGTGTTTAGATGTAAATATCTCTCAATGAAAGCAAGAGACCAGAGTTGTTGATTTAATTTTCACCATAATGAATGTAAAATTAGGCTGATTAGCCCAAAATTATTAAGTTGAGGTAGTTCATAGCCACGACGTGTTGACAAAAGAAAAGAAGAAGAGAGCCACTAGACCACCGGTTCTGACTGGGCCAAAGAAAAGTTGTTTGGTCTCAAAGCAATTTAACCGACCATGAGAAATTAAAAAAGGTTTTGGTTTTGATGTTCGGGCAATTTCCTCATTTGCCAAAAAGCTTGAAAAGTCAATCTAATCATAAATTAACGTGGAAAATATGCAGTCTCGTTGCAGAGATTACGTAGTCTCTCTACTACGATAATATTCTTTTTTCTTTAAAAACAGTGAAACCCAATATTTAAATTCAAGAGGGAACTATATAAAAAAGACTAGATAATCAAATTTTATTAATTTATATACATTATTTAAATTGAAAAAATACTCGAGAAAGCAACTAATAATTTCATTCCGAAATTCGATATTAAATTTATTTCCATCCATTCTGAAAATTAAAAAAGTTCAAAAGTTCAGTTCTTATCGACAAAAGAGCCTTTATCTTATGATATTTAAAATCTTTAAAAAAGGAAAAAAAAAAGAAACTATCTACAGCATAAATGTTTGAAAGAGAGGTGATATCAGAAAAGAAATATGGAGCGTGTGTGTACGCATTATCTATAGAAACTATTTAGGGAGAATTATCAAGGCCTGCCCAGAGGATAGGTAGGCTAAACCAGCGCTTAGAGTCACCAATATTTTTGAAAAAATTAAGCTAAAAAATGAATTACAAATTTTGAAAAAATATAAAAAATGGGCCATAAATTTAAAATGACCAAATAAAATTTACATCTTTTTTTTTTATAGCTTTGGACCACTATTTTAATTAGACTGGGCCTGAGAATCATGCACCTTGAACTAGAAAAGTCTAAAAGAGCAACGGTTGACTCAAGCGTCGCCTTCTTTATCATTCTTTTTTTTCTTTGTTAATCATTAATTCTTTCATTATATATACATCTTCTATAATTTCATAATCATCTTGTTATAGTTTCTTTTTCATAACAAACTCCCAAAAAACAAAATTCATTTCTTTCATGGCATCGCTCGATGATTCAATCTCAACCCTTCATCCTGACATCATCCAGACCCAAATCTTGACCCGACTCGACGGTCCGACGCTAGCCTCCACCGCATCAACCTCGTCTTATCTCCAAACCCTCTGCACGGAACAGAAACTCTGGCAAGAAATCTCCACCGCCACGTGGCCTTCTATCAATGACCCACGTGTTGTTCAAGCCATCTCCTCTTTCCCTTCCGGTCACCGCTCCTTCTTCGCTGACTCGTATCCGTTCACTGAACACACGTGGCAGCAGTCGGAAAACCACGATCCACCGACAACTGGATTAATCTCAGCCGTTGATCTATATTACAGAGGAGAGCTAATCTACTCGAAGGTTCAAGAGATGGAAACAGAGAACGGGAAATCAGGATGGTTTCTATCGACTCCGTTTCGGGTTGATATGCTCGACCCGAAAGAGTCGGTTAAAACCCGGATTCAATATCCGGGTGGGGATTACGAAGTGTGGGTGAGAGATATGGAAGAGAGCATGAAGCTTAATTGGATAGTGATTGATCCAATCAAGAAACGAGCTGCGAATATATCGAGCAGAAATTCAGTGTCAGCGACGCGGAATTGGTTAACGGGAGATTTAGAGATAAGATTTTCGACGGTGGTTCCAGCGACGGCGGTGGGCAAGAACGCGGCGGAAGTGGCGGCGGTTGTGTCGTGTGGATCGGCGGAGACGTGGAAAGAGGTGGACGAGGAAGTTGGAGGAGAAGTGCACGTTAGGGACGTGAGGTTGCAAGTAGAGGACATTGAAGGAAAATGTTTGAAAGGGAGGGATAGTTTGGTAGTTTTACAAGGGTTGTTGGGAGGGAAGAGATGTTGTAAAGATGGTGAAGAAGAGAGAAGAGGTAAAGGAAGGTATGTGGAATACGTGGAGATGAAGACACAGTGGAGAGAGAAGAAAGAGAAGAGAGAGAAAGCTCAAGACACTATTTGTATGATCTTTGGGTTCTCTTTGTTTGTGCTTTTGTGGAGTTTTATTTTGTTAAGGTAAACACTAAAATGGTGAAACATCCGATACACACACACACTTCTTTATCATCAATGTTTATTTGTTTTTACACAAGAAAAGTTTGTAATTAAAGAAGTTACTGAAAATTTATAATAAAATGTTATCATACAAATAAGTCTGAATAAAAAGAATTGAGGTCCCAAAAATTTAGCCAATGAATGAAGAATTTGGCGGCCAAAGAAGAATATTGGTGATGATGGTGTTCATTCTAAAGATGTGATTCAAAATAATATGCATGGCGACTAATGAATTAAATATTAGATGTGATTCAAAATAATATGCACGGCGACTAATGAATTAAATATTTAGATGATCGATACTGCGATACACGTCAGTCGTCAGTAAATAAATTATTGTACTACACTACTAGTATTAGTTTAACTTAATTGGGATCTTAATATAACTAACTACTAGTCTACTACTACTCATCTACCTCCTAAAATTAAAGAAACTTACATGTCGGTGAGATAAGCTAAGGGTTATTGGACGGAGCGGATATGAAACGATATTGAGGATGCATACGACCCCAATATTATAATAAAACGGTTTACAAATATAAATTAGAGATATTTAATTTACACAATTTAGATCATAAAGATAGTTTTGCACACTTTGTGGTATCTTGTCTGTTTTTATATTTTGAACTTGTAAGATATTCAAGAATATAAACACAAACTTATTCCTTTTGCATTTTCAAAAAAGTGAGAATATCAAATATTTTCTGGTTTGAGAACCATTGTAATTAATTCTAAACAGTTTTTAATGAAAATTACCGCCATGTTTTGATTTGTGATCATGCAATTCATGACCTAAATTAATGCTTCCAGTTCTGTATGGATATTAGAAGGGAAATGACAGTTTTGTATGTATTTAGAGGGAAATGAATACATTTCCTAAAATACTTTTTCTAATAATAATCTAAGTCTCTCGAGATTAGGAAGATCGTGTCGACCTAGCTCTAAAAAATAAAAAAAATTTAAAGATAATTTTTGAAGTCCGGAAGCATCAGATCAACTCAAAGGATAAAGAAGAATTTTCATATTCTTCGGAGAGTGAGGGATATTTTCATATCGCAAATATGGAAATATTCACCAAAGGAGAAAAAAAAAAGGAGCTCGGAGCGACCGACCTCCTATTCCTATAAATAAGAAGGCCCCAGAACTCAAGAGGACAACTCATACAATCGAGAGAACAGCAGAGCTAAAACCAAGAACTCCAACGCTTTCTAGTTTACTTCGCAAACACTTTCTTTTCACTTCGGCATAACCTTTCGGTTAAGCCATCTCTTGTAATCGCTTCATCTTTGAGCTATTAATAAATAACTTGTTCTTCGAAACCCACAACTGTTAATCAAATCCCTAGTGGTGATTTTCTGGTTCAACAATTGGCACCGTCTGTGGGGACTAGAAGAATAAATTATAGAAACTAGCAAGAAAAGATCCGAAGCAATAAGCCTTCCGGCCGACAACAACAACCTCACCAACCTCACCTCTAACATAGAGGATACTACCATGCGTATTGACACGCCTACTCTCGATGAACATGGCAATCCTACCATCGCGATCCCACCACTCACGGGAGCACCTCCAGCCCCTATCCTAGCCACCGACCTCGCCGCAGCGATCCAAGCCGCCTTACTCCCACTCACACAAAACCTGGTGTCCAAACTGGACACTCTTCAGGCTCAACAGGCGAAATACGACGAACAACTAAGCACCATGGCGGCCGCGACCACCACGAGATCTGCATCGCTAGAACGATGGTTAGTCTTCGAAACGCTGGAGCACAGCAACACTCGAGGCGCAGCACCAACCAACCGACGAACTGAATTCCGAGATCGCAAAGCTGCATCAACGAATCAACGCGATCGGATCTCAAATCCATCGCGCCACCAGTTCGACACCCGAGATCTTGGAAATTTTGTCATATATCGAACGCAACCCATTCGCCTCATGGATCACCGACGTTCACCTCGGTGCAGCAATCAAACTGAAGCTCCCATACTACAACGGGACGAAAGACCCAAATTTATGGCTGACCGGGTTCCACATCGCTATGAAGCGACAACTATTTGAAACCGACCTCGGACGGGAAGCTAATCACTGTCAGACCTTTGTAGAGCACCTCAGCAAGGACGCTCTCAAGTGGTTCTCCAATCTCCCGCCGGCCTTGATCAAATCCTTCTAGGAATTATCCCACGCCTTCATAAAGCACTATTCGATGTTCATCACGAAGAAGACGGTCAACCTCTTCACCCTGATACAAGAGCGCGATCAACCCCTCCGGGATTTCATTGAAAAATTCAAAGATGCCACCGCAGCATACGGCCAGATCCCGCAAGCTTTAGCCATCGAGGCACTTATGAATGGTCTATGGTTCAAATCCTCTTTCAAAAAAGATTTGCAGAAAAATCCGAAAAATACCATAGAGAACGCATTCCATCGTGCCAAGACCTTCATACGAATGGAGGAAGAAAGAACCTTCTACGCTAAGAAGCACGGCATGGATGTAGCGAGCACTTCGCGAGACAAAGATCCGACGAGCAAGAGCAAGCAATCCTCCTACACCATCGTGGGCACCGGAGAAGCCCTGGAATCAGTGGACTCACGACGATCCTCCAAAAAGTTCAGACGACAGAGACAATAACCACGATCTCTACTGCACCTTCCATGGGCAAACAAGACTTGCTACTTCAGCCCGACATCTCCACAATGCGTTGTATCAGAAATACAAGGAAGGCAAGATCAAAGTTGATAGAGACCAATCTCAGAACAAAAGTTCCTACTCACGCAGCTCCATCTCCAAGGATTCACGTCGAAGCTCCTCCAGCAAGGACCGCCGAGATCAAAGCAAAAGCGGCAGCTGAAGCAGCTCTGGAGGAAGGTGCCGAAGTCGCTCACCCGAGAAGAAACGGGAAGAGAAAGAGAAAGAAAAGGGGGAGGGGGAGCACAAAAACGACGATGGTGAGCATGACAATCCACCCCCTCCACCCAAGCGACGGGTTAACATGATCATGGGAGGACTTCCCGACTGCGACGACTCGGTCAGTGCCATCAAAGAGTATGGACGAAAAGCAATTACCTCACGAAAGTTCCCTTGCCCTGTGCACTACCATCCGACAATTACCTTCATGTTGAAGGATATGCATGGGTTACACACTCCACACAATGACCCACTAGTTGTCGAGTTGCATACTCACGATAGCGAAGTGGCGAAAATACTGGTGGACATCGGAAGTACGGTTAACATCATCTTCAAAGATACCCTAACCAAGATGAGGCTCAGCGACGAGGATATCAAGGCAGCACCAAAACTGCTAACCGGCTTTGCCAATGAATCCTTCTTCAGCCTCAGTACCATACGTCTGACAGTTTACATCGGCGGAGTCACGAAGATTGTCAAATTCACCATTATGGATAAACCAGCAATCTATAATGTCATACTTGGCACACCACGGATCCATGAGATGAAAGCCATCGTGTCGACCTACCACCAGTGTATGAAGTTCGCTGCCTCGGCTGGCATCTTCATAATTCGCGGCAATCAGCATATGGCAAGCTCTTGCTTCATCAGCGAACGCAAAGTGTGACTCACCATGGCAAAAGCCCTTGAGGACACTAAGCAAACAGATTAGATTCGACAAGAATCTCACAGCTTTTATATTTAGTTTTTATTCTCGGCATCAATAAAGGCCGACTTGGCCTCTGGGTGACAATACTCACTAATAATTGTAAAGAACTACGAACGGCTTGATTCCAACTTGGATATGTAGGCAACCTCCGGGTGCAGCTGTAAATTTAATAAACTTCTATTTTTGGAAAATTAGCTCGGCACGTAGAGCAATCTTTCCTATGTGAATGCATTTAGCCGATTCAATGTTCTGGCCAAACATTCGACTCAAAGAGCTAAAAATCAAACAAAAACTAACTCTGTGGCTGATCACCACTCCTTTGATACTTCAGTTTGATTTAATTACTTCTGAAGTATATAAGACGAAAGCCAAGGATAATACTCGCATGATCCTCGATCATACATTTCAGGCCAAAGTGAATCTTGAAAGCTTGGTATTCGATCTTGTTGTCGTTTGGTATAAGACGGGCAAAGGAATCCCGCTCCCAACACCGGTCTATGAAAATCCATCGCAGTGCAAAGACTTTAAAAAAAAAAAGAGTCACTTTCGCTAAAAGGCCAAATTTATTAAACAAACGAAAATCCCTTACGGGCGATGTCATTACATACAAGGCTACACAAAAAGCCAAATAAATTACAACAAAAAAAAGAAAGATAACATGCTTAATTCGGCTCGTCTCTTGACTCTGTCATCTCTCCTTGCGCTTGTTTCAACAACTCGTCGATAGCAGACCTGTTATCACATAAACGCAAACAATAATGAAACCAAAGAGAGAACCTCTTACTACCTAAAATGATGAACGAATGGAACAGACCTGCTCGGCAAAGTGAGATCGTCTTCAGTAATGACGATCTCATCGATAGTTTTGTTGGCTGCCTGCCATTTCGCGAATTCCTTCTCAAAAGATGGAAGCGTTCAAGCGGGAAGTTCCCATCCCTTTTCCTGCATCTTCTTCAGGAACGACACCATAGCACCACTCTTTTCCACGCTAATCAAGGCAGCCTCAACCTCCTCTCGCTGGACAAGCGATGCTTGAATCCGCTCCATTCGCGGCTTAAACCAAGAAATCATGCTATCAAAAATCTTGTCAGCAACGCCACCTGATCGCGAGAACCCTGGAGCTTCTCCTTCTCGGCAAGGAACCTTTGCATATTTTCCTCGTTTTTCTTTTCGAAGAACTCATTTCGCGCTTTGAGGGCTGCAATCTCTTTGCGAAGTCGAGATGATTCCGCCACCTCCAGCTTAAGAACATCTACTGTGCCTTCGAGACGAGAGCATTTCGCTCTGAGCTGCTCAGCTTCCTCTTTGAGTTTTTGAAGCCTCTCAAATTCCGTATATGCACAGTCCAATTTTACCACCTCTTCGCAGAGATCCTTGTCATACGTCTGAAACGCAGACATATACGCTCCGAGTCCCATATAAACGCAGTCCATTTTAGGATACGCAGCCGGACAAAAAGAGAAGACCAAGAAATCTCATATAAAATACCTGGCCAATCAGATGATTCGCCGAAGTAATCGACTCTGCCAGCTTCATCGCCCGCAGGGGAGTGCCCCACTTCGGATTCTTCTTGCACTTCCAAATAAGCTTCGCAGCAAACTCACGATCGAGCATCGCCGGAGTGGCACCATCCCACTTCAAGCTGAAGTGATGAGGATTGCAATCGAAGAACTCCTCTTCCTGCTTAGGCTCGGCGGGAGCACTTGGACCGGCATCATCAGCACCTGGAGCATCAGTATCTTGTGGGGGAGCAGACCCCTCAGGCGGAAGGGTAGCTTGTTGATGCGCCATAGCAGCCTCTTCGGTCACTTCTCGACTTGCATTTTCTGCATCCTGAACCCCAGGACCTTGAGGAGCATTATTCCCCGGAGGCGAAGAAACAGCTTTGCGGCCGTCGTGGTAGCATTAGGGGAGTCTCCATCACCCCTGCCCTCGGTTTGAGGAATGGTTTCTTGAACTGATTCATCCTAAGGGTCCCCTGTAGCCTTCTCGGTTCTAGCTCGCCTCAATCTTTTCCGAGCTGCGGCCCTGGAGAAACTAAAAAAAATAAGAGATAAACGAGTCAGACATCACGACAACTTGCCAAAAAAACATATAATCAACCAAGGGTAAGACTTTCCCTCGCAACTTCGCTCACAAAGCCTTCGTTTTCTGAAGCCGGCTCGACTTCGCCATAGTCCACCTGTACAGGCGCGACTCGAGGAGACGTTCTCCTCCGTTTCGAAGAGGTATTCACAGGGATGTCTACTTTCACCACCGGAGTCACTCTTCTCTTCTTTTGACCCATCCCTTTGGGTCTCGCCTGCGACGTTTTCTTAGCGGCTAAAAAATCAAAACATACAACAAATAAGGCACCACGCTTCAAAAAGGGGGAGGGAAAAGAAGAAGTTAATTCAGTCCAGTAACGCACCTGCTTTCATAGACTTTGCTCTTTTCTCGGTCGGCTTGGCCGATTTCTTCTTTCTCTCGACGGCCCCTTTTTTATCTTTTTCGGGCCATAGCTCCTGGCTAAGATTGCGCAGCTTCCGGATGTCAACATCCAGACCAAACTGGTCCTTCTCGAGGCTGATCGTCACTGCCAAAATAAGGGAAGCGGAAACATGTCAACATCTCGAAATTAGCCAAAAGGGAAAACAGAAAGAAAACAAATAGTGAAAGTTCAGTTCGGCTTACAAGGCTTCGACCTCCAACTCCTGAATAAATCAAGCTCGGAGCTGCCAGCAGACGCCTCGTTAATCTTCACATAAAAGAAAAAATGGTCCCACTTGTGGACGTTACTCGTCGGGTCCCCGCTGACAATACCGTGCTTCAGGGTGGTGTAAAAATGGCGTCATCTCTGCGGTTCAGCCTCCCACTCTTCAGAATCGAGATCCTCTCGAAAATATCCCAATTGAAAGGGACCGCCGCCATTCGAGCAACTGCTGCTAAGCTATTAAAATGGCGGATTACGACATGAGACAGTTGCGCCACCGACATCCTCCATCGTTTGCAGTAACGAAGAAGCAACAAAATAGGAAATCAAAGTCCAAAGTCCGCAAAATGGCACTCATAGATGCAGAAATAGCCCTCCGGTGGCGTCGTCACTCTTTCATGAACTTGAGGAAGTAAAAGTTAGAATTCCTCAGGAAAGCTGCACCTCGACCGAAGTTCCCGAAGCCTGTCTGCGGTCATCCAGATCCTCTCAGCTTTGATACTAGTTCTATGCTTCGACATCGCTATCTTTTGTGGGAGACACTCAATCTGGCCCGCTGGCTCGGGATCTTCTGATTCCATCTCAGAATCTATATCGGAGTTATCCGGCGAGATCTCATCTCGGTAGCCTGAAGACCCCACGGAATTCAAAGAATAGGGAATTAGGCTAACCAAGGCTCGTCTAGCGCGCTCGGCGAGAACAATCTCATCGTCGTCGAAAGAAGAACTGTGCGATGCAGTCGACATTATTCAAAAGAAGAAATTTCTGGAAAAATCAAAGAAAAAGAAGGAAGATCAGCGAGTAAAGAAGATTATTGCAGCAAAGAAATGATTTCTGCAGGGCGAATCCGAGGAAAGTAAAATCTCTAGAGCAAGAAGATGAAGAGATAAATATTCAGTAATAGAATCAAAGGAAATATTAACAGTTTCCTTAAAGGACGCGTGTCGAGATTCGCACAATCTCGCCGTCTGGAAAACCTTTCGCTTTTCCCGCTCGAAGAAAAACCCTAATGGGTCGAATATTTAAATAAATTTATTTAAAAAAGTACCACGCGTCGAATCCACCTAAAAACGGGCCGAGCTGGCCATCACGAAGAAACGCTCTTGACAAACTAATGATTATTGTGAGATCAAACCCACTTAACTTCATGAAGTCCGCCGACCTGATTTACAACCAGTCTCGCCGAACTGGGGGGTTACTATTAGAGGGGAAATGAGAACATTTCCTAAAAGGCTTTTTCTAGCAATAACCTAAGCCCATCGAGACCAGGAAGACTGCGCCGACCTAGCTTTAAAAAAAGGAAAACTCTTAAAGATAATCTTTGAAGTCCGGAAGCATCGGATCAACTCAAAGGATAAAGGAGATTTTCAATATTCTTCGGAGAATGAGGAATATTTCCATAACGCAAATATGTAAATATTCACCAAAGAAGAAAAGAAAAAGGAGCTCGAAGCGAACGACCTCATATTCCTATAAATAAGAAGGTCCCAGAGCTCAAGAGGACAACCCATACAATCGAGAGAGCAGCAGAACTAAAACCAAGAACTCCAACGCTTTCTAGTTTACTTCGCAAACACTTTCTTTTCACTTCGGCATAACCTTTCGGTTAAATCATCTATTGTAATCGCTTCATCTTTGAGCTATTAATAAATAACTTGTTTTCTAAAACCCACAACTGTTAATCAAATCTCTAGTAGTAATTTTCTGGTTCAACAATAGATAAGGGATATAATGCATAGAAAATAAAGACCATTTTCAATGGTAAGAATCCCTTATATGTTCTTATCATTATTGTTAATATAAATTTTGAAAATATTAAAATTAAAAGCTTTTTTTTTAGAAATTTTTCAAATTGTTCTCTTCCAATTGTAGAATTCTAGTTGGAGATTCTAAAAGTTAAAATCTCTTTCTTTGATCAGCAAACAAAAAAACCAAAAAAGACAAATAAAAAAGCTTTATCCAATCACAACACATCACGGGTTCTGATAGATTCTGAAAACTGTCACTTTAGAATAAATTCTACACATAATTATTTATTTTTCATTTAATTTTGATCAGTTTATTAACCAAAACAATGCCATTTTACATTATAATTACTATATGTTTTTTTTCTTCTCTAAGTTCCATCTATCGATAACATAAATTATCATTAACCAGTGGTGTTGGCATTTGATCTCATTGTTAGGAGTTCACAACTAAATCTCCGCATTGCGCTAATTCTCACATTATTTAAAACTATTTGTTTTTAAAATTTTCCATATATATCATTAAATTTTTAAGTATTCCACTTTAGATTTGATTCTATTACATCTACAATTAGATTTACGCACTGTACCAATTATCACATTATTACTTAAGATTCTGTTTGATGTTAAGATTTTTCATATACAATAAAAATTTTATAAATTAATATTTAACAAATTAATAATTTTGTCCGGTGTTAATATTAAATAATAATAAATATTAAAATTTATAAATTAATAACTCGATAAATCAATAATCATAAAATATTAATTGTATAAAATATATAAAATTTCATATAACAACACGATATATATAATTCCAAAATTTCATCAAATTTGGGTCTAAATTATTATTAAAAAATACATTTGTTATTGGTGAGAAAGATCGAAATAGTAAAAATTGCATAGATATAGACATAGACCCATGACAAAAAAGAAGGAACAAATAAGAGAACTTCAAGACTGGGTTTAGTTTCTACTTTCTATCCAATAATATATTACCACATCATCTATTTTGTCCTTTACCATCTCAACACAGTCTTCTGTTATTCGTCCTTTCCATACAATCATCCGCCACGTCATCATTTTCTCCCTTAGAAGCCGCCAAATATCAAAAAACACAAACCTTTACACGAAGCAAAGTAGCTGCTGCCTCTCTCGCATTAATACTCCTCTCTGTTCTGCATGTTGAAAGAAAGCAAAGCATTTTCGAGTTCTTGAGGAAAAAAAATCAAGAAAATGTCAAAAGAAGCTGAGATGTCGATCGCTGTATCAGCGTTGTTCCCTGGATTCAGATTCTCTCCGACAGACGTCGAACTCATCTCGTATTACCTCCGTCGTAAAATCGATGGTGACGAAAACTCTGTCGCTGTGATCGCTGAAGTCGAGATTTACAAGTTCGAGCCGTGGGACTTGCCAGGTTTCTTACCATTTTCCATCTTTTTAATATTATATATATACTTGTAAGTCTCGAGAATGATAGGAAGAAGAAGATGAAAATGAGAACAAAACTCTGTTCTTCATATTGAATTGTTCTGTTTTAGAGTCTCTAAAGTATTTGGTATAATTAGACGGTTTATCTAAACCGGTTACACTACATTTACAAGAAGATTAAATGAGAAAAATCTCTTGTTATTGTCATTGAATTGTGTTGTTTTAGAGTCTCTATAGTATTTTGGTACAATTATACGGTTTATCTAAACCCGTCACTAACCGTGGTACTTACCAGGTTTCTTAACATTTTCCAAATCTTCATTACATTTACAAGAAGATGAAATGAGAAAAATCTCTTGTTATTGTCATTAAATGTGCTGTTTTAGAGTCTCTATAGTATTTTGGTATAATTAGACGGTTTATCTAACCGTGGTACTTACCATTTTCCATATCTTTCATTACATTTACAAGAAGATAAAATGAGAAAAATATCTTGTTATTGATATTGAATAGTTATGTTTTAGAGACAAAGTATTTTAGTTTTATTCAAATAATTATTCGACGGTTTATCTAAACCGGTCACACTCCAATACACTAAACAGGAGAATCGAAATTAAAATCGGAGAACGAGTGGTTTTACTTCTGCGCAAGGGGAAGGAAGTATCCTCACGGTTCACAGAGCCGGAGAGCTACACAGCTCGGATATTGGAAAGCTACCGGTAAAGAGAGAAGTGTGAAATCGGGTAACCAAATCGTTGGAACCAAGAGAACTCTTGTTTTTCATATCGGCCGGGCTCCTCGAGGCGAAAGAACCGAGTGGATTATGCATGAATACTGCATTCATGGAGCTGCACAGGTCAGATTTTTTATTTTATTTGAATCTTGATTTTTGTTTTCTTGTGAGAAATGTTGAAACCGGGTTTGTCACAGAACGCATTAGTGGTGTGCCGGTTAAGGAAAAATGCTGATTTTCGAGCTAGTTCGAGCCAGAGGCAAATGGAGGATGGTCTTGTGCAAGATGATGACTATGTTGGTAAAACTGGTGGTGGTTCGGAGAGTGAGAAGAAAGCTTATTCGATTTATGAATCTGAGCTTCAGATTTCAAATGGTGACATCAGAGAATCATCAAATGTTGTTGAGGTATGTTCCATTTCAGTTTTATATAATTTAGATTTGGTTCAAGTAATTCTGTATATAAAATTTTATTCCAGGTTATTGTATAATTGAGATTGGATTCGGGTTCGAGAACTGTGGTTTGGATTCAAAAATTTTGGTTCGGTCTGGGAATTTTGCTAATCCTATTTTCTTTTATTGTAGAATTTAGAGTTGCAGCTGAAATTGATCTGTTTCTTTGGAGTGTAGGATCAAGCAGACACCGATGATGATTGTTACGCCGAGATTCTGAACGATGATATAATAAAGCTTGACGAGGAGGCATTGAAAGCAAGTCAAGCATTTCGACCAAACTATCCAACTCAACAAGAAACAATATTCAGCGAGGCATCATCGAGTAAGCAGAGGTCAGAATGTGCTATAAAGAAAGAATCAAAGCAAACGATGAATTGTTACGCTTTGTTCAGGATCAAGAACGTCTCCGGCGCCGGCACCGCCTCCTCCGGCTGGAGAATCCCGAATCCGTTCCAAATCAAGAAAGATGATAGCCAGAGAATGATGAAGAATGTTATGGCTACTACTATTTTCTTGGCTATCTTAATGTCTGTCTTTTTTACTGTCTTAACAACTAGGGACTAAATGTTTAGTCATGTGTGTCGTTATGTCGTCTTCTTTGACTCGCAGTTATTAATACTTGTACTACGACACCTTAACTACATTGATAGGTAATTACACGTGTTTTGTATGTTTTTTGCTCTCTATTTACTAGGGACCGAGTAATTAATGTTTGTAGATATTTTCTATAGACGGATTACGAATGGTCTTTTTTTATTGTTTATTGTTTTCTCCTTTTCTGGTGTGATAAAAATCTCTTTGGTCAACTATACTTGTTACCTTCGTTGATTATAAAAGTAGGGAGAACGACTTTGAGATATTAAGGTCCTTCAAATGTATGTGAGACCAGCTGGTCCGGCCATGATTGTATAAGTACATAGTTCTAACTTCTAATACATTGGCCCTGAATAGCAGAGCCGTGTGAATGTTAATAGCACTAATGTTAATAGCTACCTACCCAAAACGATTCAAAATAAAATACCCCCTTCATCATATCTTTTCGTTAATAATAAATACTACCATTATACTACAAAAACAAATAAAGAACCAAACTAGCAAATAAAATCTTAATTTTAAAATATAGAAAACATACGTGATGCACTTAATATAAGTTTTTGTTCATAAAATACACTAACACTGAAAAAAATTCATTCCATAACATTTTTCACTAAAAACTTGACCAACTTAACCTTAGACAAAACATTAGTTAATAAAAGGAGAAGAAAAATACTGTACAAACAAAAGTATCAATGGCCAAGATTGATCTGAAATTCGAACCCTTTGTTTTGTTTAGGATCACTCTTCTCGTTTGATTGTGGTTTGTGATTATGAATCTTTTAGATCTTTGGAGTTTTTTTATGGGAAAATGTTTTTGGGATTTAAAGCTCAAAATTATATAGTGGAAAATAGATATGATATAATTGGGTGAAAAACTCAAGAAACCGAGCTAAAACAACAATACTGGTGAAAAAAAAAGAAAATTGGCGGAAATTAAGGTTTGAGTGTCGCAGAGGTGAGAAAGAAGATGAAAATAAATTTAGGAAGATATTCTAAACTTTTAGGAAGACTTTCTTAAAATGTACTCCCTCTGTTTCAGAAAGAGTGTCATTTTGACATTTTTCACACATATAAGAAACTTAATAAAAAGTCTTTTCTGTCCTTCATAAATACACTAAACAATTTTCTCTTTCTAAGTAATATACTAAAATAACAAGGTTAGAATTGGATTTTTAATTAAAAATTTGCATTGGAAATACAAAACGACACTTTTTGTGAAACAAAAATAAAACTCTAAAACGACACTCTTTATAAAACAGAGGGAGTATAAATTAAGTAAGTCATTATATGTATTATGAAAGCCTTCCTAAATCGTATAATTGATTTTCTTTTTTATTAATTTATACAACAATTTAAATTTAGGAAGCCCTTCCACAAGTTAGTAAACTCTTCCACAATTCAGGAAACCATCCACAATTCATAAATTTTTTTAAAATTTAGGAAAACTTTCCTAAATCATACTATGAAACGATGTTGAATTTTAGTATTTGGAACACCTTCCTAAAAAATCAGGATGACTTTCCTAAAGGGAAAAATCGGAAAGATCAAATGAAAAATGTTAGATGGTGAAAAGTTTTTAGCTTTTTTGTTATATTTGTCATATTTTTTTTTCATGGTAAATATAGAAATTACACTAAAATATACATACTTTTTAAAAAAAACATTGCTAACCAAATGTTCAAAATTAAAGTTTGTAACTAACTTTTTTAAGTATTTTTTTTTCAACTGAAATCTATTACTAATAAAACTTGATGCTAAATGCCTCTAAGGGTGTCCACATATGATTTAAAGATTCAATTCTATTGGTACACATCATCATTATTTTTAGTTAATTATATATTGTATATTAATTTTGTTTTTGTTGTTATTAAGAAAATTTATAAATTTTAAGTTAGTTATTAATAAAAAAGAGTTTTGAAAATAGATCTTATTTTTCTATTAACAATAAAAAGATAAATTAACATATAAATAGATTATGAAAGAAAAATTATATATATTGAACAAAATTATTAAAAACTGTATTTAAAACCATAATTAAATTATTTTAAAATTTTAATCACGACAAACAATTAAAATCTGAACTGCTAACTTAAAATATATTAGTTGTGGTTTGTGTTGATGTCTTAGGCCAATGAGAACATCCACATATGACATATATACTCAATCTGATTAGTCAATATCAGCGTTTTTCAATAAACATAAAAAATAAAAAATATTATTAATAATTTAAATAAATTAAAACGTAAAAAATATAAAATTATCACAATAGAATAGAAAATTAAGATAACTTTTTTAACTAAATTAAATAAATTTATGTCAAAAGTCTAAATCTATTGTGAAAATAAAATGGAAACTCATTGTCACAAAAATGAAACTAACAAAAACAAATATGTAAATCAATAACAAAAAAGTTAAATTAAAAAAAAAATTAGCATAGATATTTTTAATGAGTAATTTATTTAGAAAAATATTAAGATTAAATTTTTATATGAACATATAAAATTGTTATTTAAAAATATCAATACTACCAAAAAACATTCATCTTAAATTATATAAAAAAAGTCATCTAAAACTTATTATTTTGGGAGAAATATTTAAAATTTACACAAAAATCTTAACAAACCACAAATTATACTTTATGCTTATTACTGAAGAAAGCAATATAAAAAACTGTTTAACTAACAAAAACCAAAACATAAATTATTTCTTATAACATGTCAATACAATTAAAATGAAAATCCATATCGAGAAAGTTAAATTAACAAAAAAAGAGGATAATAATTTAATACTATGTTATTTATTTAACAAAATCAATATAAACATAATAAGTAAGAGAATAAAAAAACTTAAATAATACTAAAAACTTAACTAACAAAAATAATATAAATATTTAAACTAATTATTTAAAAAATTAATATTAAGAAATTAATTAAATAAAAAACTAAAATGGAAATTAAGTTTTACAAAATATTATTTTTTTTAAAAATACTTAAAAATATATTGACTTGATATCTGACTAACTACTTAAAAAATTCATATAAAAATATTTAACTAACCAAAATTTTATGTCTTCAAAAAATATAAATATTTTAAAAACAATGGTGTGTTAAAATAAAATAAAAATCAATATCAAGAGAGGTAAATTATCAAAGGAAAAAGTTGTATAAAGTAAAATTAGCTTGATATTTATGCTAACTACCAAACAAATATTAACTAAAAAAAGCAAATGATGGTATAAGCTTTTGAGAGAAGTTTACTTAAAATTTAGAATAACCAGTCATAGCATGTCAAAATAGTATTTTAATTAATTTTAAAAGTAAATTTAACAAAGAAAAAGTATTTACGTAAAAGATATTAGATTAATATATATGCTACCTATTTGAAAAATCAATAACAAAAGAGATTAATTAAAAATATATATGTTTTAAGTATATCAACTTGCAGAAAATTAGATAATTAAAATAAAATATAAAATTACCATTGAAAATATTTAAAATAACAAAAAAATATCTAAAAAGAAAATTAGTTTGAAATATAGTTCCAAAAACATTCATGATTTCTAACATATTGGTGTTGACTATGAATAACCAAATAAAGTTTTAATAGGTTATACAAGTTTCTAAATCAAACATATTATTTAAATTTACAAAGATTAATACCTTGGTTGTGTCTGGTTGAAAAATCAACAAAGTAAAATACTACGCAAGTAACTTTACATTCAATATATAATAAGTAATAAAGTCTGATTTGTAAACATATTTACTGCTTATAACTTAGTCAACATGAACAACACATGAGCAACATCCTTTAAAATTTTATTTAAATAATATAATATGACAAAGTTATGAATCAAATTCAAATAGAAATATATGAAGATAAAATATTCAAATCAAAACATGAATAAACACACAAAAGATTAAAAAAAAACAGTGATAATGTAAAGTCTCAACATCATCTTACATGTTTAAAAATAAATATTAGCAAATAATTGACTGCAAATAAAACTGATCTTATAGACTTAATAGAGATATAACCTAAAATTCGTAGAATATCTGGTGGAGAAGCAAAAAACAGCTTTACACGATTAGTGTAGCTTACTAACAAAAGTAAACTTGAATCAACATATATCATATATTATATATGTATATGTACAAAACATTAGTAGGACATTTAGTAAAGAAACTAAATATTTAAACATATAAACCTTTTAAAAAAAAGAACCGTATAAATCTTAAAGATACAAAACAAAACACCAAAAATTTAGTATGAAAATCATTTTCTAAATCAAACATATGCACATCAAAGTTGGATAATTTGTTAGGTGTCATTACTATGACTTTACTTAATAAGATTTATAATTTTATAAACAAAAATAGGAAATACTACATATTATGTTTTATTTTTTTTATATAAAACAAAATTTCTACAAATATATTATAATTTTGATAATCAAAAAGATATTAGCCAAAAAAATAAACCAAATTATTAATACAGACTCGCGCGTAGCACGAGTTAAAAGCTTAGTTTATTATAGAAAAATTCAGTATCGAATACAAGATTAAAAGATAACAAAAAACATCAGAAACAAACTAACTGAGAAACACCAGTTAGCACTAAAAATCCTATGATTAATCGAAAAACCAACAAACGAAAAAACCCAGGACTACAGATCAGAAAGAAATAGAGATTTTTGCTTTCTCAGAAACAGAGATGTCACGAAGCCAAAAGGGATGGCCAGAGGCAACATACGACTGCTATCGATACTTCAAAATAACACTTTGAGCTATGAGAAAAGCTCATGTATTCCTATATCTGACTTCAACCTCCACTTTCCAATCCTTAATATCAACCAAAAAATTATTAAGGAAGACAAACTCCTCTTTATAAGAAGGCCACGCCTTTGGACTTGCCAATACGCCAATCAAGACATGAACCTCAGCGGAAAAAAATACTTGATTCAGCTTATGAAACCCCATATTTTCAATCGCCCATGCCAAACAAAGAAGCTTTGCTTGGTCTCTGCTTTTCACTCTACCTAAACATCTTCTACTATGCATCATAACCACACCATCATGATTTCTTAACACCCAAACACAACCTGCAATTTTTTTAGATTTATGCCAAGTAACACCGACGTTGCACTTAACCCAATTTGAAGGAGGCGGTTTCCAATGCATTCCTTTCTTACTACTTCCTAAAATATTT